ATTTTTTATTTCTGTTGTAAATGAACTGGACCTGACAGTGTGATAAGTTCAGAGGCAATTTAAAAGATGGAGTTAAAGTTTAGTCATGTTTCTGAAACAGTTTATCTCTCTTCTCTGTAAATCTTCTTGGGTAGCTTCCTTTAGAAGTTCAGTAAATTTTTCAGAACTTCCCTTTTTAAAAAAAAGATTGGGATTTTTATTTTCTATGCTAGTTACTAAGACATTAAGTGGAAAGAAAAACACCATGAAACTAGCTGGAAATTTTGCTTTTTTTCCTGCTGTAGTTTCTGTTTTCATGCCTAAAGTTAAATTGTGGTTATTATATCAAATTGGATCTGGTTTCCCATTCCCATGTCTTTGTAGTGTAATTGTAGACATTAATAATCCTGCGTTCTTATGTACCAGGGCAGTTATGAGACTAATGGCTCCCTGCAAATAGTCATGTTTTTAGAGCTAATTATGGTAGTAAAGGGTCTTGTGTACTTATACGCAGCAATTTTAGTTTTATTACTAGGTCCACATTATATAACCTTTGGTTTTTAAAAATTGCTGACTTTCCCACTAGAGGTTTTATCTAAAGGAATTAAAAAATAATCTTGAGAGCCACCTGAGTCTAATAGAAGTGAGACAGTGGCCCCACCAGCTCTGTGTGGTTGATTTCTATACAGTTTAACAAGTAAGGTAGTTTTTATTTGTTTATTTGGTAAGAGATAGGGTCTCACTCTGTCACCAGCCTTGGAGGTATAGCCTGGAACTCCTGGGCTCAAGCCATTCTGCTGCCTCAGCCTTCTGTAGCTAGGACTACAAGTGTGTATCACCACAGTTACCAGCTTTTTACTTTTATTGTTTGTAGAGATGGGGGTCTCTCTGTATTGCTCAGTCTGGTCTCTCAAACTCCTAGGCTCAAGCAGTCCTCCCTCTTCGGCCTCCCACAGTGCTGGGGTCATAGATGTGAGCTGCTGTAGCCACCTGCTTTGTTTTTGATGAGGAGTAACTCTGCCACTTTGCCAGTTAAACTTGCTTGGGTGACTGATTCAGGAAACCTCAGTTCTCCACTTATCTTTTAACCCTCAGTTTTTCTTTTGAAAAAGAAGCCTATAATGATAGCCCAAAAGTCCAGATTATAGCTTATTTTATTTATGATGATTCATAGTTTCTCCTTTAGATTGTGAGTTCATGTCTGAAGGGAAAATACTGGGCTAACAATTGGCTTCTCCTGTATGTCTATTTCATGGTCTTCTCTGACATTCTACTTTCTCTAATACATGGTTTCTTTTTTTAAAATTAATTTTTAATTTCAGATTAATATGAGGATACAAACAATTAGGTTATGATGTTTGCATTTGTTAGGTAAAGTCCCTGTTGTAGTTGTATCCCTCTAACACATAGTTTCACTTTAGTCATACAGAAGTAGAGCTGGCAGTAGCTTACCAGCCATCCATCCACTCGAACAAATTCTTCCACAGCAGTGCAGCAGAAAAAGGTAAGCATATTTGTGTTGCCAAGTACAACATACACACACAGACACAAAGCCCTTCTCTCCCCTTTGTTTGCCCCCACCCTATCCTGACCAAATAACAGTCATTCTAGCAATCCTAGCTGCAGTGCCCAGTGTGGAATGCGACAGCATTGCTTGTCCAGGGCTCTGTGTAGTTGTGTACATGCAGAAGGTGATTTTATAGAGACGGGGATGAGGTTTGCTTTTAGTGGCATTGTGATTCTCTTTCTGATTTAAGTTTTCAGGCTTCTCATCTTTGTATAGGTTTGGGGAAAGAGGCTAGTAAGAAAGAATAAGGACTGCTTAGGTGCGTGGGGCAGGGGATATTATTTTAGGTTAGTGTAGTATCTCTTAGGCACAGCAAGTTCAAGTTTTGAAGGCAGAATTCAGTTTGGATCCCAAATTTTTAACATTGTTGTTGAATTTTGAAATTTGTGATTTTAGTCTTTCTTGATTTTTTTTTTTTCCTCATTGCCCTCAAAAGACTGTCTGGAATTAAATTGCATTAATTTCAAATAAATGGGACAGTGCAATATATTAGATTAATGAGCCACAATATTTTTTCTTTAAAGCAGTTCCTCTGACTGAAATGCATATTACCCCATCCATCTGTCTGTCTGTCCATCCATCTATTTTATTTGGCAATGAAGGAAGGCTGTGTATGTTCTTTTGGGTTATGGTATCAAAGAATTTGAGAGGATATTATAGTTCTTCCCTTAAGGGCAAGGAGACCATCTGAATTTGAAAGTGCTAGGGAGATTATTTGCCTTAGGCCATACAGCTGATAAATACACAAACAATTTGAACCCAAATCTCTTTTATCACTGGACATCTAAACATAGCCTACTTAATATCTTCTCAGAACTATCTCTTGTAGTAGTAGTTCCATCCGTTGACCATTGTTTTCTATTTTGTGTTTTTAAAACGGTTTCTTAAAGTTTTCTCCCACTCTTCCCTCCCTTCCTACCTCCTACCTTCTGCCTGGTAAGATCCATAGGCAGCTGTAAAGCTTGTTCCCTCAAGTAAGGGAAGAAGCTGAGGCCCAGGGGAGCAAGGTTATCTGTGGGCACCTCTAAAATAACACTGCTGTCCCTGTCCCGCCCCCAGAGGCTCTGTCTGTGTTTCTTACGGTACCTGCCCCATTTTCACTCATGTTGCAGTTACCTGCAGCTTGTTGGATTCTCTCTTGTGAACTGTAACCCTCTGGAAGGTTTATTCATCTTCACCTTCTGATCACAGTGCCTGGACTTGGTGGATGTCCAGCTGTTAGTTGTTGAACAAAACTTAGTAAGATGTTATAGAAGGTTTTTAAAGAAACATTTATTTTCTGTCAGAAAAATACCCAAACCCTACTCCCTGAAACAGTTGGCTTATTTTTGCCAACATTGGTGTCTGTATAATTAGGCCACTGCCCTTCAGAGAAAGCCTAAGGTTTTCCCTCCCTACTTGTGTGCGCACACACAGACTAGGCAGAGGATACTTCAACTTGCTATAGCCTTCTTAGAAGGAATTTGTTTGGAAGGCAGTGCGACTGTCTCATGAGTTATGTCTGTGAACCTGTTAATCTTGCTTAACAGTTATATTGACCTGTCAAATCTAAATGTTAGCCCTGTTTTAGCCAGGGGCTTAGCTATTATCCTTCTTCCTCTGTTTATAGGCAATGTGGTACAAAATCCTTGCATCTTGATATAATAGGCCATGCCCTTTGGCATCAGCCTGGAATTTGAATAACAGATTCTGTTTTTTAATGTTTGTGTAACCTTGGGAAAGTTACTTGACTTGCTTAAGCCTCAGTTTTCTCATCTATAAAGTGAGGACAATCACATTCCTTATAAAATTGTTTTGAAAAGAAAATGACATGTCAAGTGCCTGGCATGTAATAGGTACTTGGTAGGTAAATGCTTGTAACCACTCTGGAATTACACAGCAGTGAGAGATTTCTCAAGAGTAAAAGACTTAAGGAGGCCTCTAGGAAAAAACTGTGCGGAAAATCAACTTAATATTCTGATTACATGGGGGAAAAATCATTTTTCTTTCTTTGAAAGATAGCAGAGAGCTTAGTTTGTTTTGAGTCTGAAACCTCTGTTGGCCTTCATGGTATGGAAACTCCGACTCAAGGACCACTCAGTTGCAGAAAGCAGCCTCTGCGTGTGTTACAGACGCAGATGGTGGGCATGCAGGTGCCACGAATTATCAGGCACAGGGGCATAATACAAGCAGCAAAAACGTTAACTCAGTTTTCTTTTTCCTCATCAGAAAGCTATCTTATGGAAGAAGGACAGTGATGGTAGGAGCATAGTTCTGGCTAGTTGAGATCAGTGTTTGAAAGCTAAAAAACAAAAACAAACCCGTGTATTGTGATGAGTATACTCTGCATATTGAAAATACTAAGTTCTGTGAGGCCAGAAATCTAGGGAAAAGTCTGATTCAAGAAGGCCTCATCCACAGAAACACATAGGTGTTAAATTTTGATAATTTGGCTCCAGCTGAGCTCTTTAGGGGGGTACTTAGGTTGTGCCTAAAGTCACAGCTTGTGAGGTACCTGTGGGTATCTGCAAGGTGGGCCCCACGGACTCTGTGCGGGTTCACTCTTCCTGACCTGGGCTTCTAGCAACAGCGTTGTAGCCTCCACGGGCAAACCAGGTGATTTCATCGAGGTCCTCACCCTGTTAGTGGCTGAGACAGGAAAGAACATGTAGCTGAGAGCAAAAATTAAATAATTAGGCCTTGAATTGCTCATAATAGTAAGATAGTTTTGTACTTTTTAAAGGTGCTTCATCATTTGTTCTATTGTATTGTAGCAATAACAAAATAAGTGCTGGTGAATCTGTAAAATTTCTCCCATATAACTTATTGAGTGGTTTCTCCCTGTTACATGTTCAGATCTAATTCAGTTCAGGAGGTATTAGATTATCCATTGTATGCTAGCCCTTATGGGATCCTTGAGTTTTCATTCTTAATTTGTTCAGATTGAATAATAGTTGATATTCAGAGCCTGTTCAGTGACAAGTACTGTGATATAAGGCATGAAGAAAGCTGGGACACAAAAGTGCTTATTAAGGGAACTGTGAGGAAGATGAGTCAATTAGGCTTTCTCTCCTGAAGGCCAGATTGTTCTGAGTAAAGATGATTAAGTGGGGCAGGTGTCGTTATTGTACCTAATCGTCATTAGGGCTTGATTTGGAACCACTGCTCTGGCTGTGATATAAGGCCCGTGATATAGGACCCGCCCCCTCCCAGTGCCAGACTTCCTAAGGGGGAAAGCTGCTTGTGACAGTTTGCCTGCCTCACAAGCTGGATAACAGTAGATAGATGGCCCATGTTTGCTTGCTGGCTCCCATGAGCTGAAAAAGGGCATGTCCCAGCTACTTTCAGCTCCTCAGTTTTTCTCCAGTGTGAACCTCCTTGGGCTCAACCATTGGCATTACTGGAATTAACCCCCTACCCCCGGTGGCCTTTCAGCGTGGGGTCTCATATTGTTTTCCTTGCCTGTTCTCGTTAGGTCATGACTGCTGTGAGACAGTGAAGGTGCAGCTCTGTGCTTCCAAAGAGGGCCTTCCCGTGTTCGTGGTGGCCGAAGAAGACTTCCACTTTGTCCAGGATGAAGCATATGATGCAGCTCAGTTCCTGGCAACCAGTGCTGGAAATCAGCAGGCTCTGAATTTCACCCGTTTTCTTGACCGGTCAGGACCCCCATCTGGGGACGTGAACTCCCTCGATGAGAAGGTTGCGCTAGCGTTCAGACACCTGAAGCTGCCAGCGGAGTGGAATGTGCTGGGAACAGATCAGACTTTGCATGGTGAGAATTTATTTGTCCTATAAACATACTTTGGGTTTGGGATACTTCTGTTTTCTAGTGGAGCTGCATTTCTGTGGTCTTTATATTCAAGTTTTCTTCAGTGACCGAATCTTAAAATCACTGCAGCAAAATGGCTTTGATGGCATCTCTTAGTTTTCCAATCAAACTTTTAAAACTGTTCTTACAATGAAATGACCCGAGATAGTACTCAAGCAGAAAGTGGCACATCACCTTCCTGTGGGTCTGGATTTCAGGTGTGATTTTGTTACCAAACCCAAAAAAGGGTCCAGTATAGGTCCCATCTCTTCCCATACAAGAGCCAATTAATGTGATGAGGATTGCCAAGGAAGAAATTTTAGTGCAAAAGATATTGTTTGCAAAAATGGGAAAAATGATCTCAGATCTATCTCCTGATTGACTAAAGACAAGGGCTTTTATAGTGGGCTGTGGAAGACGGGTCAGGTTGTGTGGGAATTAAAGTGATGGGTCACCAGGTGTTCCGATTCAGGAATCAGCCCCTGGTGATAGTGGTGGAGCTAGTTAAGTCAGGTTGTTAGGTTTGACTGGTAAAGTCCCAGGGAACAAAAAGTCACTTGGGCGGGGGGTCATTTTGCAAGGCTCGTTTCAATCTTTTAAGCACCAAAGTGACCATGCTTCATGAAGAGAATAGCAGAGTAACTTATTCAGTGTTTAATTATCAAAGACAAGATAAGGTTTTCAGTGTGTTTTTGGTTTCTCTGGGGACCTACTGAAGCTGGAGGAAGGAAAAGGGTGGGGAGTGGATGGAGGGAGCATGAGAATAGGATGAGCTCTGAGAAACCACATACTTTTTTTAACCAGGTAGTTTGACTCATACTGATTTTTATTTACTGCCCCTCCAGATAAGAGCTTATTGATGAAAGGACTCCACTTTCCAAAAACATTGATGTTGTAATATGTTCTCTTATTCAGACAAGGGTTGTTTCACGTAACTCATATCATGATTATATAGACATTTTCAAGTGAAATATAACATATACTTGGGGCCTGTTAAATAATACCTTGTTTTCCTCCTGAGCTCAAATCCAATAGAAAGATTTAGGACTCCTGCAGATAGAGATAAAATGTTTGCTTTATTATTGATGAAATCGAGATTTGAAGAATAATATTCGAGATTCTACCATAGGGTCTGCTTGTACTTTCTGTGTCGTCATCGAAGGAGCTGGACAATTGTATGACTGCCCTTGAGAGTCCACCCAGCTCTGATTACTGTTTATGTAGGGTGGGGAGACCAGAAGTCACTCTCTGCAATTGAACAGATCCTGAGGAGAAATCCCCAGAGGGGACGTGCAGTTCCTACCCTCTGATTCAGCAGAAGAGTTTATTCTTCCTTCCATGGAAGAGTGGTGAAGAGGTATTTGCCAGCTTCGACTCTTTTAAATCCATTGCATTTCACAGTTAAGCCAGTGATCAGGCATCAGAATACTGTCCGATACTATCAAATACTACCATGGTGGTCCTCTCCAGGTAAAATCTGAAATAAATGTGAACTGTAAACTTAAGGAAGGAAGCATTTGTCCTTTTGTCTTTTTCTTATTAACAATGTCCAGAAAAGGAAAACAGGATTAATATAGTGTCCAAGAAACTTCTGCATTGCTAATAGAAATCAGAATATTATAGAGTCTGAGAACTTAAGGATGGGCCCTAATACCTCTAGCTCCTTCCATTTCTGTTTCAGCATAGGTGGGAATGATTATTCTGGTTGCCTTTTGCAAATCAACATCAAGATAGAACTGTTCTAGTTATTTGTGGGCCTTATGGTATTTTTATGGTTTCATGTTGCCATCTTAAAGAAGGCCTAGGAGTTGGATAGTTGTTACCATAACTAAAAAGAACTGTTAAAAAAAAAAAAAAGCGAGGGTCTATAACTCCAGGCATCTTGCTTCCCCTCTCCAGGTCTTAGCTTCCTTGTTTTAATAGGAGAAAACTAGCCAGTTTTAATATTTTTGTGTACTTTCCATGTACTCCTTAAGTTTCTGTAATACAACATTGCTTATGCAGTGCTAACAAAAGCTAAACCAAATTTGAGCACTTAAGGAAATAGAAATTAAACCACATTGAGATACCATTACACGTTTATTAGAATGGATAAGATTAAAAATACTAAGTGCAAGCAAGCATGGAGGACATCTCATGATACTTGCAGGAATGCAAAACACCATAGATACTCTGGAAAACTTTTGTTACAGAGTTTAAACATATACTTACCATATGACCCAGTAATCCCACTTCTGAGTATTTATCCTAGAGAAATGAAAATGTCACTAAAAAGTCTGTGCATAAATGTGACTATAGTAGCATTGTTTATAATCACCAAAAAACTGGAAATAACCCAGATCTCTCTCACTGAGTGAATATGTAAACAAACTGACACATCCATGCAGTAGAATATGACTCGGCAATTAAAAAATATTGACAGGTGCACAACCTGGATGCATTTTTAGATGCATTGTGCTTTGTTAAAGAAGTCAGTTTACAAAGGCTTTATATCATGTGGCTCCATTTATGTGATATTCTGGAAAGGCAAAATTACAGAAACAGATTAACAGTTGGCAAGGACTGGGAGTAGAGGAAAAGTCTTGACTACAAAGGGGTATTAGGAGGGAAGTCTTTGGGGTGTTGGAGTTGTTTGTATCTTGTTAGTGATGGTAGCTGTGCACGTGTTAAAACTCATACTACTGTACATCCCCAGGAAGTGAATGTAACGGTATAAACTTTTAAAATAAATGTTGGTTTAAACTTCTTGAGGTAAAATGCACACAGTGGACATGATAGAACTTTTTAAGTCATCATCTGGGATCGGAAGTCTGATTTTTAGTGTTCAGTTCACATTGTGACGTTTAAGTTGTTCTGTTATGAATGAGAATCTAGGAACACTAGATGTAGTAAGGGTGTCTGTTAACGAATTTATCATGCTTGCCATGGAATTTAATGGGATGAATATAATGGAATAGTCTCTTCACATCAATGAGTTGCACATCAAATAGTTTTTTAAAGGTATTTAAATGAAAAGGGTAAAATGTAAGCCTATTGCCTGGGTTAATACAGGTAAATAGGGCCCTGTGTTAATAGGGCTACTTGCATTAGAAAGCTAGGATGTTCTAGCACAAAAGAGTCATGTAAGATTTATGGGTAATCTACTATTTAATTGTTTAGACACAAAGCTTTTTAACTTATTTCAGGTCAATGCCTCCTTTCAAAGTTAGATTTCTCCTCAGGAAAGAAATGTTTATATATGTCTACCTGGAAATATTAACATATATTAAATTTCATAGTCTCCAAACTTCAGGCGCCAACATGGAGTTAAGAACTCTCAGTTTAGATTTGCTGTTGTTAAATGTAAAAGCATAGACATTAGAGCCAGACTATTTATATTGTGGACTCATTGCAAAGGTTTGTGCAAAGTACTTAATCTTTCTATTACTGAAGTTTTTCATCTGTAAAGTGTAGTCTGTCTGATAATGTGATAGTTTGCAAGCTGTTTGTTTTGAATGCACCATGACCAATATCCAGAAACTTTTTGGAGACACACAATATTGGTGAGCTGTAACAAGGAAAGAGAACATGTTCTTCTGGAGCAGTGTTTTTCATCCTTTTTTATCTCCTGGCAGGCTTGAAGCACACTTAAATTATGTTGATTTAAAAAGAGTAAAAAAAAGAATATACTTACTATGCTTTGAACTTCTTTCAAAAATGATTTAATCTTTAAAATTTTTTGCAACACACGTAGGATCCTCTGATGGCACACCACTGTGCCACGGCGCACGGGTTGAAAATCACAGCTCGAGAGGCTAAAACAGGACAGCACTCCAGGGCTCTTCAAAGCAGCACAAACTTTCTTCCTTTTGCTTTTTACTTTTCACTTTTCACTAAAGCAATCCTCCCTTTAAACATGAACAAGAGTGAGTCTGTCCATTTTAGCTCTACCCGGCGTTCTCTAATCCCTACTCACATAGAGAAGTCTCTACCCTGTCCCTTTCTTGCCACGCTTCTGCCTTCCGGCTCCCTCTGGATGGAGGAGCATGGTAAGGAGCGTGTTTTCCAGTCTCACTTAGTGGTCTTTACTGTCTTGGTGCTTAGTGAGAATGGTGAGTGGGGATGGCTTTTCCCCGGGAAACCCTGGAAGAGCGGTAGTCAGCGTAGCTCTCAGGAACCTGACAGTGGGCCCGCCGAAGGCCTGCTCTGGAGGAAGCAGGGAGAAACGAACCAGGGAAGGCGCCGCATTGTCTAAGAGAAACTTGGGTGGAGAGGAGGATCATAGGTGCAGGGAAGACTGTGACGAGAACAGCCCCTGCGTTCCCTGAATAATGTGCACCTCATGTCGGTTAGCGGAGTCGCAGCCACAGTCATTTGGAGACTTAGTTCCCACACCCCTTTCAGAATGTTTGATAGCTTTCTGTGGAAATTTCTCCTTAGCTACACTAGTATTTGTGTATTTTTCCAGCCATCATCACTGCTTAAAAAAGAAAATAATAAAATATAAAAAGACTGCTAATGGAAGTTTTTTGCAGAAGATTAATGTCTGTTGACTCCAAGACAGGCAGTACCTAGTAGGGGCAGAACTTAAAAGACACAAAAAAGTTTTTGTTGCTTTTCAAACCTTGGTTTTGTCACAAAGTTACAAGCTCATTTTCCCAGAAGCCTGTTTTCTCACATTGGCCTGTTTTGCTTCCTTCCTGGTGCAGTGTAAGTCTTGCATGGTGTGAGACTTGAGGTTTATTTCAGAGGCAGTCCGGAATGCAAGAAGGAATGGTGATTTTGGAATCCTCTTAGATTCAAGAGCACTGTGAGCAGGGCTTGCTGGGTGAATTGATAGAGTGAGAAAGTAGTTCTTGATTATTGTTCCATTTGTAGAACTTAAGAGCATTCTCTTTAGTCAGAGACTCCAACAGCTTGAAAAAGACGCAGCCCTCTAGCAAGCTCATCGTGGTCGGATGCCCACTAAGCACACCAACTTCTTT